AAGATATGTAAAATCTCTCTAATAGTTTATCAGCTTTCTTTTCATCCTTGAGCTTCTGCTAATGAGAGCCTGGAGGCCCCTGCTCTTTTCTGGTGAGTCACTGGCTTATGTACTATAGTACCAGGGATTGAATTCAGACCCATCACACTGACCACATCTCCAGCCCATTTTATTTTGAGACCCAGTCTCACTAAATCACTAAGTTTTCCAGGTTAGGCTTGAACCTGAGTGCTGGAATCAGAGCTCTGCACCTTCACACATGGCTTGAACAATGTATTTAACCACCAAATATGGTGGCCATTTATTACTAATAGTGATTTTTTTAACTTTAAACTCCATTTTTCTAATACATTAGTTTTCTTTTCCTACTGTTTACCTATTTCCTTGTTCCCTTCTTTTGTTTTCAAACTTTGTGTGTTAATGTTAGGAACCTTGGATAAATGGGATGAGAAGCTCTTCTAAAATTTTTTTACCTAGTAAGTCTGGATCACTATTACTTGTAAGTTCTGATATGTTCAGGTGTGAATTTCCTACTTAACTTTATTACTTTCTATATCCCATGTTTCTTTTACCTTTTTAGCTTCCTTTATGTACATTTTATTTTTTTTAAATGCCCTCCTGCTTTGGAAGGTGCACATTTTTGTTGTCCTATCACAAAAAACTTTCCTTAAGAAGCTGTGACAAGTGTCCTTGCCCCCTTCTGCGCACACCAGCTGCTACACTGATTTTTGTGAATGTCTAAAATGTACCTTTCTCGTCAGCCCCAGTCTTCTGGATAATCACTGTGATACAGCTGCTTTCCAGGCAGCATCCACTTAGACCTACTAGTGTTTACTGATCGCTTTACTGACACTCGTTTCTGCATTTGTATTCCACTTTACTCCACAAAAGCAAAACAGAGCAAAGCAAAACCTATTTTTCTGAAAGTGCATCCTTTTATAATTCACTTAGCCTAGTCTTTAAATATTGTTCTCTGACAGGCTTTTTTCTTGGGAGGTGGGGTGTCTTTCTACTGCCTTTGTAAAACCCTGGAGTGATATTTATCCTTCAACATTTCCAAGTCACATCCCAGTCGCCAGTGGCCCTCACTTTGCTGTGGAGAAACCTTCCTCTAACAGCTTGCTGTCTTTTTCAGGTCATTTCCTTACTTTTCCCACTTTGTCTTTAGGTAGCTGACCTTCCCCTAACATGCGTTTTAGCACCCACTTATTTCCATTTAAATCTTCTTTGAAGCTTATTTGCATTCTGGAGTCTAAATTTTCATATTTTGACATATCTTTGGCAGTTTTCTGCTATACTTTTATTTTCTTTTCCTTTCCTTTCCTTTCCTTCCCTTCCCTTTCCCTTCCCTTTCCCTTCCCCTTCCTTTCCCCTTCCCTTCCCCTTTCCTTTCCTTTCCTCAACCCTTTCCTTTCCTTTCCTCAACCCTTTCCTTTCCTTTCTTTTCCTTTCCTCAACCCCAAGCTCCGGACCGGCAGCGCATGCAGTACGTGGCGTAGACCTCACACAGACCATTGGGGCGAAGCCACCCTGCTGTCCCCTTCTCGGCTGAGCATGCTCCCGGGCATCTCCGGAGCGCAGGGCCTCTCAGCAGCGAAGGTGGCCCAGTTTGCCTGCGCTCCATCCTGAGCCCTGAAGGCCGGCCCCAATGCCTGGCCATGAGTGGCCCTAGTGGCCTGGAGACAGACCCTCAGTCCCGAGGGCCGACCTCAGTTCGGCTGAGCATCCTCCTGCAGCCTGTCGGGACTAGCTGGGCCTCGTGCCCTGGGAGGGTGAGCACGTGATGCCGGCCCTGGAGGCGTGGCAGTCGCGTCCTGATGACGCCATGATGACGTCATGATAGGTCCTAGCTCACACTGCCAGGTCTTCACCAGGGTTGCGTGCTGTGCTTTGCTCAGCTTCGTCCTGGTTTCCTCATGGACTTCATCTTTGTGGTTTCCTGTTCAGCCCTATCCTCTGTTGTCACGTCGTGGCGTTCGATGCCAGGCGCCCCGGGAGCCCTCACACCTAGGTCCTGTTACCCTGCTGCGTGCCCTCCTGGTCGCTCCGGCCCAAGCCGCCCCGGGGGTGCTGTGCCCGCCCCGGCTCCTCCGTGTTAGTCCTGCCAGGCCTGGGTGAATCCGTCCTGCCTGACGTTGGTGTGCCTGGCCAGAAGGTGCCTCCGCCACTGCAGTTGTTATTACTGGGTTAATACGGATGCTGTCCTTTCACAGTGAGTTCTTAAGCTTTGCCTTGTGGGTCTGTTTACCATTGGAATAAAAATCCCATCCATTCTTGGTTGTTGGATTGTCTTCTAGAATCTTTAAAAAAAACAAACAGAATCAACTTTATTGAAGGATAAGTGACTTACAGAGTACTTGCATATATATATATATATGAATTTGTTAACATTGGGTACATTTTGCAATACATATATACTGTGAACCTGTCATTGCAGTTAAAATAGTGATTTCCACCCACACAACTTCCTCTTTCCCCTCAAAAACGCACTCAGTCCTGTCCCTAGGCAACCATTTACCTGGTTTGTTATTCTAGACTAATTTGAATTTTCAGGAATTTTGTACACAGAGAACCACTCAGTATTACTCTTTTTATCTTCTTTTTGTTTTAATGTAATTATTTCTGTGCTTATGTTGTGTGAGTCAATAGGTCCTTCATTTCTGTTGTGGAATAGCGTCCCTTTGCATTGATATGCCAAACTGTGCTTACCCATGCACCTGTTAATTGATATGTGGGTTGTTTTCAGTTTTTGACTATTATAAATGAAGTTGCATGTGTGACTGTCTTTGTATGGTTCCCGTATAGAACACTGGCAGGACCAGCTTGGCACCTGCTCAGTGTAGTACTGGACCCTAAAAGTGACAGCGTATCCCTCCCATACTGACTCCTGTGTTCTTTTGAGCCCAATTTGAACTTCCTGCTTTTTGCACACGCTGGTGCTACCATTCTCACAATCAGCTATCAACAAGTCATTCTGCCTGCCCTTTCAGACTCCACCCCCTGTCAAATCAAATAAAAGCCCCCAGCTTGCTCAGAAGGATCTTGTACTCTTCTGCAGCCCTCCATGCCCGCAATAAAGGCCATTTTCTTTTTTTCCTCTTTCTACTCTTGCTTCTTTACCATACAAAGGAAAAAACCTAACAGCATGCACATGTCGGGAGGCATAGGACTGGACTGACTGGGTCACCTGGTAAATGCACCTCAGGTGTTGTAAGAAACCCAGGCTCCCTTCCACTGTGCAGTCCCACCATCAGCACACAAGAGTCCTTTATTCCCTATATTTCTAACCCTTGCCAAGGTTCATCTGCCAGCTGCGGCTGTTGTAACAGACTATCATGTTTTGCAGTATCATTGACACAGGATCCCTGATTTTTCACAAGAGCTTTTCCCAGGCATGGTTTGTATGTATTTTTACAGCACACCCATTTGTGCTTCTGGGGTGGCACATTTTTCTTTGGATTTGGAAGTAAACTTCCTTATTTTCTTGAGCTGGTGGTGCAGTTTTTCTGGTTCTCTTTTCATTGAGCAGAGTGGCCTCTAACAGGTGTAGATTAACACTCAAATTCCTGGCTCTGTTGAGGCCCTCTTAGCTGTTTGTGCATTCCTCTTCCTGTTTACTCTTTGAGATTTCCCAGGTTCCCTTGCAGGCCTGGTTGTGAAGGAACAATTTCAAGGTACTCAAAGGTGTTATTTCTCTGTGTTGGGAGCAGAAGCCCAAGTTCAGAGGTTGTAGTGTTACAAGAAATCTCTGGGTTCCTCAGTAATCTGGTGAATGTGTGAGGTCACATTATTCAAAATTATAACACTCAGAGGGTTTCCATGGACATTTGGTTTTGAGGTGCTGGGGTGTGACAGAAAGAGTGGTACTGGTGTACTGTAGATGGCATAGACATAAGCACTGCCTAGGAAATAAGTTGGGAAGAAATAAGAACTGAGTCCCAAACAATGCTATTCCAGGTGCAGATTTTATGCAGCCAGTATATGGAATGCCTACTGCCTTTGAGTCTGTATTCATGATCTTAATGCACACCTTGTTTATGGATTTGTCTATGTGTAATATAGTTACTTAAACACTATAAATAACACGCTCCACAAGTAAGAACACTTCTCATTGGAATTTACCTCTTCCAGTGACTTAGTACCAGTCAGCAAAGTTTCATTCTGTTGACTTCCTCAAATCAAATGTGGAAATTATGCTTGGTACCTGCCTCTTCTATTTTTGACATTTCAATGTGATAAACATAAATTACATCTCAGAATTATTTGTATTTCTGGCAAGAATGCCTGTTTGGGAGAACGCTTAACTTAGTGTCCCCTGTATGTAGTGCGCACATCTCTGGGGGAAATGTATTTCGGGTGGTACTGAGCAACTGTTTTTCGGACAATGAGGTATTCATTTCATCCCTTGCAACTAACAATAAAAGGTAGTGATTCGTGGAGATTGTTGTGAAGGAAGATACTAAATGCAAAAATGGGCCAAATAAGATTATTAAAAACCAATATGGTTGGAACGGAAAGATAGGAGAAACTGTGACAGTTACTCATATGTGATTCTTTGAAGACTCAAAACATGGTTTTATGGACAAGACTTCCTTCTCAACAGCAGACCTCAGGTATTTAGTACCTAGCTGAGTGACTGTCCTAGAAGAGCTGGCTGTGTAGCTGCATTCACAACCTAACAGTGTGGACAGCTTCTCCCTAAGAGGCCAACCTGACTGTGGGAGATGTTGCACCTAAACCATGTGAAGGGGATTCGGGTTCGGAGTGGGAAGATTTCCACCCCCTTCTGTCCATCAGTACCATTGACTTGAAGGAAAATCCACTCTTTGGTCAGAAATGCGCTGGGAGGATCATGTCAGTGTCTAATAATTACCTTGTCCTCTAATGGGTGGTGGTATGAACACATCACTAATTAAAATGTGCATCATCCTAAATCCACTGGTATGTGACTGGTTCCCCCCACCAAGAGATGATCTGTACCCTTTCCTTTCTGTATCCAGGACTCAAGTGGCATGAGGACCTCCCTGCAGGCGGTGGCACTGTGGGGAAAGAAGGCCCCTCCACACAGCATCTCTGCCATCATGATCACCGACGACCAGCAGACCATTGTGACCGGAAGCCAGGAGGGTCAGCTCTGCCTCTGGAACCTTTCACCTGAGCTGCAGGTAGGTGAAGTGGACAGCAGCACACCTACATGCAGCTGTCTGCTCTCACCTGCAGGCACAGCTGCTGCTGAAGAGAGGTTTGCTTCAGCAGCACATTGGTTTCACTTCTGAATTTGGATAAAACAAAGTATTAAACTGTAGGCAAAGACACTTCAAAATTATATTGCAAATATTGCTAATCTTAGCTATCAGCTAAGTATTGTGACCCTTTAAGCTATGCTGAGTCTTATTGCTTAATGTTCTGAATTATACATTTAAGTAACTGAACTACAGACACATATGTGTAATTTTGAATATTATGACCCATTAATCTAATCCCAGGGCCTGCCTCCCTGAAAACGGTTGTGAACCACATGAGTAATATCTTAATTATCTGGCTGCTGCTGCTGGTTCGGCCCTCTTGCTATTCTTTCAGTTTCTGCTTCCCTGAGATTTTTACAGTTCCCATCAAATGGCTCTAAATCCAATTTACTGTTGTCCTCTTCCTACTTCAGAAACCTGGCATCACCTAGGAGTCGGCCCATCGATTGGCAATTAATTGTCTGTCCCAAGTCATAAACATTTAACATATTGGAATAGATATTTGCTTAACTCTAACGGGCTCCAGACCCAATTTGGACATTTAAACTAATGATGTGCTTAAAGTATGCTGCCCTCATTAAGAAGCCTTTTAAAGATCAAAGACTATTTTTAGTCTTTACAGTCTGTCACTTTAAAACCTAAATTAACAATTAATTGTAATTCTATTTTATAGTGTAATTAACTAACATCTCCCATGGTGGGTCAGTTCTGCCCCAGGATGGCAGGGAGACTTGCTTGGTGGCGCAGCTCGCTGGGCTGTGGCTCCTTCTGCAAGAAGACTGTCACTGTGGCCACTGCACACGGAGGCCCACGGGGACTGGAGATGCAGTTCCTATGGTAGCTTAAACCCAGACCCCTAAGGGCTTCCTATGCCTTGCTGCTCCTTTATGGCTGGAGTGGTTCCCCGGCAACTCATAGGTCAGCTAAGCTACAAAACGTGCCACCCTGGCACCCTGTCTTCCCTAGTCTGTCCTTGTGTCTGGCATGCTTGTGTCGAGTTGTTCAGCTGCCGAGGGCGGCTGAGATGTGGCAGGTGGTGGGGAGAGGCGCAGGTGGTGTGGCTGAGTCATGTGCACCCAGTGTGGTGGTCTGGGCAGGAGGGTGCTGCCAGCCAGGGCGGGGCCTCTCAGGCTTCCTGGGAGGAGGAAGCAGCTGAGGCCTTGGGTCCGAAGTGATTCTGATCAGCCACAGAAATTCTTCTGGCTTCTGATTATCAGCCACAGAATAGTTCCGATTATGATACAGGTGATGTTAAGAAGGGGGATAACTACGTCTTGAAATACTTTAACTGCACTGATATGGCTGGGTTATCATCCTCACACACGTGTGTATTCAGAGCACTAAAGCAGGATTAGTTCACTGGGAACACAGATTTTTTTTTTCTAGTCATTCACATTAAACCATTGGCCCATTAGTGTTCTTCTCTATGTATTTTCTGTTTTGTAGTTTAATGTTCATAATCTTCCTTTATAAAATAATGAGGATTATGTTCTTTTTCATACGTGAGATAATAAAAGAAGTAGAGCCCTTAGTGTCATACTTTTTAAATTCTCATTTAGGAGAAAATCATCAGTATTTTAAATAATAGGTTAGCTAAAAAATGTTTATATGCCAAAAATTTAATTTTATAACTAAATTAAATTTAATTTAATTAAAATTAAATTTTAATTCTTCTGAGGGAAGAAGCCAAGTAAAGTTCATTTTCTTTATTTATTGGCCTTTTTTGAGGCAGGGTTTCAGTGTATGATTCAGGTTGGCCTTGAACTCACTTTGTAGCCCAAACTGGTCTCAAACTCATAGCGATCCTTCTGCCTCAGCCTCCCAAGTGCTGGGATTACAGGGGTGCGCCACTACCCTGGTTTAAAGTATTTGTTTAAATGTTTCAGTAGACTTTGTGTTATGGGAGTTCCAGGTTCATAACAATGGCATGGAAGGAACAGAAAGCTCCCACGTGATCTCCCTATGCCAACAGCTCCCACTGTCAGCACACCACAGTGGGGACTGGCATTTTCACAAAGGCCATTGTGTGTGTGCCTGTCTGGGCCACTTGTGATGTGTGGTGCATCTGTGGGACCTGGCACCTGTGGTGGCACCAGTAGTGTGTCCTGTAGAATGGTTCCCTGCCCTAGAGGCCCCTGCGCTCCACGCATTTGCCGCCTCCTCCAGGAGCCTGCTGCACTGGGTGCCAGCTCATCAGTTGGCTGTTTCCAGAACGTTCTGTAGTTGGAATCACACTGTGGAAACTGTGCATTTCAGTATCTCCATGTCTTTTTGCTTTTTTTTTTTTTTTTTTTTTTTTTTTTGGTACTGGTGATCAAACTCACAACCTTGCTCTTGCCAGACAGGTGCTTATGCCGCTGAGCTAAACCCCCAGCTCTGCTCTGTGTCTTTTCACAGCTTGGTAGCTCATTCTGTTTCAGCACTGCATTCGCGTGCAGTGACTTGGTTTGCCTACTGGTCTGCTGAGGGACATATTGGTGGCTTCCCCAAGTTGGCACCCATGAGTGAGCCAGCGGAGGGAGGGCATGATTTTGTGCAGGTGCCGCCTGGATGCGCTTCAAGCGTCCTGCCTGGATTTCATGACAGGAGAGCATGGAGACTCACAAGGAACTGCTGGGCTCTCTCAAGACGTGGTGGGGCTGCTCTGTGTCCACAGCTCTGCTGGCAAGGGTGTGCCCCATCCTCCTGGAGGACCCTGGAGCTCGCCCGCTTATTTGGTGTGTGGCTGTCTGCTCAGAGCTGGGCTTTACATTTCTCTAAGACACAGGGTGTGGCCCATTTTGGCCTGTGCTTGCTTCTTTTCTTCTTTCTTTTTTTCTTTCTTTCTTTCTTTCTTTCTTTCTTTCTTTCTTTCTCTCTCTCTCTCTCTCTCTCTCTCTCTCTCTCTCTCTCTTTCTCTCTCTCTCTCTTTCTCTCTCTCTTTGTCTCTTGTGCAGGAATCAAACTCAGGACTTTGTACTTGCCAGGCAAGTGCTGCACCACTGAGCTATACCCCTCTTCCCCTCTTCATTTTCAATCTCTGTATTCTTTGGAGAGTCATCTGCTCAGATCCTTTGACTTTTTAAATCAGGGTTTTCATTCTTCTGTTGTTGAGTTTCACAAATTATGTGTTTTGGGTAAATAGTCCCTTAACAGACAGGTCTTTTGCAAATATTTCTCCCTGTGGCTCATCCTCCTCCCTCTTCTCTTGGCCTCTTGTTTATCTTTACATAAATGAGAAATATATATTTTAGAAATTTGAGGTAATATAGATCGTCTAGAAGTGAAATGAGCTTAAAATGCCTAGGCTCTGGTCTAAAATGGCATTTTCTTTCTCTTTGTTTTATTAAAGTAACAGACAAATAAAAGTGGCATATTTAGGGTGCTGAGTGTGAGACCAGGGCAAGGTGGTTACCCAGCTGTTAACACGGCACCTCGTGTGGCCCTGGGATTTGCATGTGGGAGGATACTTGAGTGCTGGAGGAGACCTCCAGCCCACGATACTATAGACTTGTGCTGTTATTTTTCTTGGTGCTAAGCATGAATAGGAGGCCTTTCACGCCCTGAGTAGACTCCACTGCTGAGCTGCCCCATGGTGCTGTGCATGCCCCGCTGTGTCCATCTCCAGTGCAGCCTTGCAGCCCTTTGACTCCTCCCTTGGCCTGTAGCAGCTTAGCTGCCGACTCTGCTGCTATGGGTTGGACAACTTGAGGTTCATCGCATAAGTGCGTCTGGCTTCTGTCACTTAGCAGAGTGCCCCTCTGGGCACACCTGTTGTCACAGGGCAGCTTCTCTGTGTTTATGGCCTAACAACTGTACTGTAGATGCATGTGTGATCTCTTTTTGTGCTGTCCAGAGGTGGACACTTAGGTGCCTGCTGCCAGGCCATTGTAAAGGTGCCACAGGGCACTTAGGTGCTGAACCCTGAATTTCTACTCTGTTAGGTCTGTGCACAGACACAGGCTGCGGGTGCCATGGTTACACAAGGTATAATTTTTTGGAGAGTCGTCTGCTTGTATCCCCATGCTGTTTTCCATAATCACTGTGCGGGTTTGCATCCCCACCCACAATGAGGTGTTCAAATGTTTACAAAGGGCAGTCTTTTCTCCTATGTTGTTTTGCAAACTCCTTTCCCTTTCGAGAGCTGTACAGGTCCCACTCTCATCCCAGTGGCATCCCCTGTGTGACAGGTATCAACATGGACTTGTTTGTATTCAAAACCTCGCTGTGGTCAAAGGGTCTGGCGTGCCCTAGGTTTCCTGACTGGTACCAAACCAAACAAGCAAAGCCTGTGCAGCGTCGCCTCTCTCCCTGTCTGTCTGTCATTGTTCAGTGCACTCCAAAGAATTTACATACAGAGGAGGGTGACATGGACAGGTTTCGCTGCTGGTGTGCTTGGTGGGCTATTTCTGGTTTTCAGTCCCAGGTTTGTGAATGTTTACTGTCCTTTCAGATCTCAGCTAAAGAGCTCCTCTTTGGTCATTCAGCGGCGGTGACATGCCTGGCCTGGGCGAGGGACTTCTCCAAGCAGCCCTACATTGTTAGCGCTGCTGAGAATGGGTGAGTAGTGGTCAGGTGCAAGGCACTGTCTCCTCCTCCACCTTGTCATGTAAGGGGCTGCAGGGCAGGTGGTTTCAGGGTCAGGAAGGTTCCAGAACTGACACGTTCCTTGTCCAGAGAGGGAATGTAGATGTGTGGTGACTTGTGCGTTGGTCCCCAGGAATAGACTTGGTCTCATGAGTCTCAGTGTACCGCCTGGTGCTGCTGGAGGAGAACCATGGGAAACCCTCTCGCGCACATACTCTGGGCTCTGGGGTTCCTTCCTGTGCGGCAGGTGCCCGGCGACACACAAGTGGAAATAGGAGTCCTGCCTGCCTTTTTCCATCTCCCACTCCCCTTGCACTCTTAAACCCCTGCAAGCCTCCACTGTGGTCTTGCAGGACAGTGCGGCAGTCCAGTGCCTGAGTGGCACTGTGTTCTGAAGCTCACAGAGTAAGGGCCTGAGGAGAGCGGTGTAGGGCAGAGGAGGGGAGGCCAGGGCAGCGCTGGGCGAGCTGTCCTGGATGCACCAGACAGGAGGTTGAGACCCAGCTGGGGCAGAAGCCCTGGGAGGAGGAGCACCCCGGCTACTGAGTGTTGGTGGGAGGATCCAGAGGGCTGTGCAGCCTCTTCCTGGGAAGGAGCCATTGTGCTGCTGGCTGAGACTAGAGACTTCCGGTTTACTTTGTAGCCCAGAGGGATATTGTGTCTCTCTGTGTTCTGAGAGCCAGAAGAACAGTGAGGACTCAATATCCGACTTGTGTAAACATTGTTTAAGGTAGTGGCTTGCAGGACAGATAGCAAAGCAGTGCCTCAGAGTGTACAATAAAACAACACCAGGTAACCCTCTGAGCTACCAAGTTGTGACCAGGTCTGAAGGGAGATGACCCCCGACTTTCTGCAGCGTTTGCTGGGGTGAAAATGTTTGCTGCCCGTTCACATGGAGACAGGGACTCCTCTGAGTAGATGGGGGGTGGCTAGTTTCTTTCTGAGTGTTAGAGGACTGGAAACTTAGGGGCCAAGTGAGGAAAGGCTCTGCGTGGCCTCTGAGTCTGGGGCCCACAGGCCTCTCCTGTGTAGCTAGGGTTACCCTGTGCGGTGCGACCAGCTGTCTACCTCTACCGCAGTGATCTGGGAAGCCCTTGGTGTGTGTGTGGGCTCCACAACTTCTTCCCTCTGGACGCTGCTGCTCAGGCAGGGTGGACCCCGCAGCTGCTGTGTGCCCAGCACCTCCTTCCACACCACCCCAGGGTGGGCACCCAGCTCCGCTGGCTGTCGTCACGAGGTATCCCAGGCCAACCAGAGGGGACACAGTCACTTCCAGACCAGTTTTCACTTCTTCCCCTGAAGTCTTATTTCATTTGTTGGCTAAAATCCCCTGATTCAGAAATCCCCGTGAACTGTGGCATGAAAAGAAAACGCCCCAGATCTGATGTGTAGACAGCACAAAACCAATGAGGAGGAGGAGGAGGAGGAGGAGGAGGAGGAGGAGGAGGAGGAGGAGATCCCGAAACTCGACACATTTTCCACCAAAGAGTGGTAACCTAGGGCCAGCTGGCCAGCGCTAAGGACTAGAGAGCAGCGGGCCCTCAAAACAGGACAGAAAACAGCCATCAGCTTGGAACCCACATCCACCGAAGGCATCTGATACCTAGGGTGAGACTGAGTATCATTAAGACAAGTATCGAGGTTGTGCCTGGCACCTCATTCATCATGACATTCTAAGTGAGACTTCGGAATAGGAGTAATGGTCTCAGAAGCAAGAGATGAAAGAAGGAATGTGGAATATAGCTGGGCAGAGTTTACCTTTGTCCGCCCTCTCCACAGCCACGATGCCCATGGCGACAGCCTCCATGTCCAGGACGTCAGGCACATGGGTGTCTACCCTGCCACAGTGGTCACGGCTCTCTCTGTAATCCCAACAGACAAAAGGAAGAAAATCAAGGGTACTAGAGTGGATGCCTTCCAATTTAATAAAGAAAAAAGTTGTTTAATGTGAAGAAATAGCAAAAAAAAAAAAAAAACATAGGCAAATTGAAAACACATAAGATAGTAGAAATAAATCTTAATAAAACAGTAACCTCAAATGGGCTGTGGTGGCACATGCCTATAATTCCAGCACTTGGGAGGCTGAGGCAGGAGGATCACCATGAGTTCAAGGCAAGTGTGGACTACAGAGTGAGTTCCCAGCCAGTCTGAACTATACTGTGAAACCCTACCTCAAAAAAGACAAACAAAACAAAACAGTTACTTCAGTAACAATGGGCTGAAGTGTTCTAGTTAATTTACAAAGATTGTCAGACAATTAAAAAATTAAAAACAGTAAAAGGACTAGAACATTGAAAAGAAAATAAAAGAAAAATATTTACCAGGTATGTACCAGCCAAAATAAGGTCGCTATAGCTGTCTTAATATTTTGTGATTAATTAATATATAGGTAATAGAACTTGCAGGCAGGAAGCCATGACACTGTAGAGAGGGTTGTTGCTTACTAAGAAGCCTTTCAAGCTGGATGTGCTGGCATACTTCTGCAATCTTAGCTACTTGGGAGGCTGAAGCAGAGGATCTCCAGTCCAAGGCCAGCTCTGGCCACATGGTGAGCTGCTGTGTGTGGTCCAGTGCTGCCAGAGGTGCAGGCAGAGATGTGTGGGCACCGAGCCTCTGGGGCAGTGCTCCTCAGACTTGAGCTGAGCTACCCTCCCAGCCCACAGAACCATTATGCAGGCTTCGGGCTTCCGGTGGGACTCAGCTCTAGCACTTGACCCAGCCTTAATCCTTGACTTCACCTAGATACCACCCCATAGTCTGGGTGGGGTGAGCTGGGGATCTCGCTCTGTAGTAGGCCTCTCACTGAGCCGAAGCAGGAGCAGCCCCAGGCCCTGCACCCCCTGGAGAAGGCCGCAGCTGGGCCTCTGGGAGCACAGCCAGCCCGGCCTCCAGGGTGCTGGGCAGCTTATGGGGACAGTGGAGAGTCTTCCCCATGAGCTGCCAATGCGGGTGGTAAGAGGGGAACAAGGAAGCCAGGGCTTGAGCAGCGGAGGGAGAGAAGGAACCCGGCCATGCCAGGGAATTGCCCAGGTCCACAGGAGGCCAGGAGAGGGTCGGGCACACAGCAGACCCCCAGGGAGTCACTCTAGGAAGACACTGAGCAAGGGGCTCATCTCCTGGCCCTGGGGCAGAGCAGTGATGTTCTGAGCCGCAGACCTGAGGCAAGAGAGAGGCCCGTGGGAAGCAGTGCTTTTCTGGCCAGGCAGGTGTCTCCAGGCTGGAAGCCGGTCCATGCCTCCTGCACCTGTAGGGGAGTGGCCCGACAGAATGACCTGCAGTGAGGTGCAGAGGCCATGGTGTGAGACACCTCCAGCTCTTTCTCTCAGACCCTGCCCTAGGGCCTGCCGGTGGTCACGAGTCCTGTGTTGGGGATGTGTCGTCCGCCTTCTTCCTTTCACTGAAATAAAAACAATCAGAAATTTGTGAATTGGTGAACTTAACTTTTTAGGATTGAAGGTGATCTTATGTGCATCCAAACCCTTGGAAATGCATTTGCAAATGACAAAAAAGAACATGTACTGTAACAGATTTCAGTTCCTGTCACATGCCCAACTTGTGCAGTTCTAGCCAAAATGCCAGTGCAACTTTTAGTACACTTTTTTTCCTTAGAGCTGATAGGCTGAGTGCTTTTGATTTCTGATTTTCTTTTTGTGTTGTTTTCAAATTTATAATGTCACATAAGAAGGTCAGGAAACAGGAAAAGCCTTGGGCTTCTGGGGACACTGTTCCTGAAGCCCCATTGCACCCAGAACCAGAACCATGCGAGGTAACTGGGCTGAGCTGAGGCCGGGGCAGGGCCCCTAATCACTCTGGGTCCAGCCGGGGCTGCCCGGTGCTGGTGGGGAGCCAGCTCCTCCTGCGCACTGCCAGTCGGCCAAGAGCCTGTCCCAGCCACAGGTAGGAGTTTCGCTGGTGACTCCTGATGGACCAAACAGTGGAAGGCCACACTGAACCCCCCAGCTCCCCGAAGAACTAAGGTCGCACATCAAGGTTGCAGGAGGCTCAGTGTTCATTTGACATGTTCCCACCCATGTGCCTTCTGGATGTGCCAGTGGCCGTGCCTTTGGGGTGTGGTGTGTTGATTTTTATCAGAACACACAGGCACAGGCTTTCGCTACTGTCCCACAGTTACATGTGTAAATGGAGGGGAAAGTTGCCCACCTTTTGCTTCTGTGTCTGCAACACCTTGCTCCCCAGCCTCACTACCAAAGGCACCAATTGGACCTTTTGTTGTGGGACAGAGCTGGGTAAGGCAGGGCACCTGCCCACCTCCCTAGTGTCCACTAGATGGCAGTAGTGTGCCCCGGTGGTGACCACTCGGACAGCTGCATGCCCTTGGAAGAAGAGGTTGAGCGGAGACTTGGGATGAAATTGCCCCAGTTTAAAAACCACAGATGTAGGAGACCGGTGCCTGTGTTGGTTAGGAAAGCACAGCAAGCCCACAACCCCCGGTGCCCAAAGCATTTAATACTGGTGGTGTGGTCGTAATGAGCACACTCCCTTCAGTGCCTGGAACACACTCACTCATGCTTCCACGGGCAGAGCTGCCTCTGAGTTGAGCCATCAGCACCGGAAAGCATTCCCAGCTCTGGTGCTGTGTGGGACAGCAGTCCAGGGCCACAGTGCTGCCTCGGTGTTCGTAACACAGGAGACCCAGGAGACCCAGGGGACGGTTTCAGAGCAGTGGGGTTCCCCGTATGAAGGGCAAGGCTGATGATTCCAGGATTTCAGATGAGAAGGCCAGGAGTAAACAGTCCCCATGATATGCCAAGTGGAGCCTCTTGGTGGCGCTGTTTGTTTTTACAAAAATGTCACCTGGGCCCCAGAACAGGCAGCCTGGCTCTGTGGGTTAGGGCTGGTTACAGTGCTCAAGACACCAGCCTGAACTCAGCCAGGGGATGTCTCCCAGAGGCTGCTGGGTCACGGAGTGAGGCCATCTCCCTGCACTCAGGCCCTCGGTAGGCTGCGGTCCCGTGGCACGGTGTCATTCCCCAAGCACCTGGCCACAGAGCAGTATGTCAACCCTGCCAAGACCATGGCATTTTCTAGTCTGGTAGTCTGCAACACAAAGCCACGTACACGATCGGGCTGCACTGAAGAACCACACTAAAGGGAAAGTTGGTGGGACTGAACTGATCGCAGCCAGTGGAGTGGAAAGGACAGAGAATGACACTCTTATCTCTTCTAGGGAGATGTGCGTGTGGAATGTCACCAGCGGCCAGTGCGTGCGGCAGGCCACCCTCCCCTACGGGCATGCCTCCATCTGCGTGAGTCCTGTCCTACCCCCAGGCTGCTGCAGGGCCCCATGCTAGCTCCAAACAGCCACCCATGAGGACAGCAAGTCTTTTGAGGATGCAGTTTCCTTGAATTTTTATTTGATTTTGGGGTTCACAAAGCTTTTGTGCATAAGAAGGGGGAGAAGGACTGAAGGGAAGAGGAATAGGGAGAAGGGGGCAGCAAGGTGTCCCATATACAGGTGCAGGTTCACCATGCACCAATGAGATGCGTCCTAAAACACGCACAGAACTGAGATCTTTCTCAAAAGATACTGCCCAACAGGGTCTTCCTCCTCGTTCGTCGTCTCACTTCCCCACCTCATCTCCGAGAGACGGGGTGTGTGCTTCTCCCCGTGACACACACGCACATGCACTGCAGGCCCAGGCCGGCTTCATGACATGCCGCGTTACAGAGGGTCTGAGTTCCCTCCTTTGCATTAAAGCCTACTTCATTCCTAATTTCTGAATTTGTTCATTGTGTGGAGAGCCAGAGGTGTCGCCATGATCTACTTTTCAGAACAGATTTTGAGTCTTGGTGGATGGATGCCCACACGTGGGAGGCCATGGCAGGCTTTCGTCAGAGCTGAGGTGGTTTTTAATTTTGCATGTTACTCTTTGAAGTGCTAAATGCTAACATTTGCCAGCTCTGTTCTGTTCTCCTTGGGCCATGATCCTGTAAGGTGAGGGAATTCGCGGAAGTTGTAATGTTCTCTGTGATCTTTAATAATAAAGTCTTTTCTAAGACTTACTTGGAACAGGAAATTCTCACATGCTCTTCAGACACTTTTATTGTTCCTTGTTTATGGGTACCAATATTGCAGTAATGAGGAACCTGGCTTTTGGTGTTTCTGGTTAGCTCTGAATAACACTACAGAAACAACCTTCCTGTGAGCTTCAATGCTTTAGATAGTCCTTCTTTCTTCATGATCCCCGTCTTCAGAAAAATGAAAAATGCAAGTCAAGCTAAAGTACATTATGGAAAATAATCTCAGAGAAATTTTAGTTGTTATTCAATTTAATGCCTTCCCTGAAAGATGCTGAAACTAAAATTGACAGAAGTCTTCAGCATAGCCAAAATTATGTCACACCAGATATGGCAGCTGGTGCTTGTAAACCTAGCACTCTGGGAGGCTGAAACAGGAGTATCACAATGTCAAACCCAGCCTAGGCTACGCAGTGTGACCCTGTTTTAAAATAAAAGTAAAGAAGGGCTGGTGATGTGCTTACTGCTGGCCTCTAGGCTCGCTCTCCAGACTGCAAACAGCATGTCTCCGAGGCCCAGTTTCCTTGCCGTGACAGCGCATTTGCTCTGTGCCTTCTGCTGTAGTATTACCACTGTTCAGCCCGGATGACTGGCAGTGGCTGGCTGCTGTGCTGTGGCGAGTACCAGGACGTCCTCGTCATCGACGCTGAGACTCTGACCGTGGTACACACGCTCATGTCCTCGCAGTCCCCAGACTGGGTTACCTGCATGTGCATTGTCCACTCCGTGCGGGTTCAAGGTAAGGGTGTCACCGGTAATGTGCTCCATGGTGTGGTGTGCACTCCTTGCTGCTGCCTGGGGCAGAGCAGAGCAGGTCAGGGGACAGAGGGACAGAAGGACAGGGCCGCACTGTGCTGCATGGCCAGGAGCAGCCAGGCTCCCCACGTGGCCTACACAGGGCTCTGGTGTCCCTGGGACTGGCCTGCTCTTCCTCTGCACAGGACATTTAAACCACTGGCACTGGGCGTGAAGTGACAGTTTGTTATTAGAGTGGGAAGTTGCGTGCTCACTACTCCGCAGCCCTGTGTGACACACCCAGAGGGCACCAAGTTGTTACCGCAGCCTGTATCCTGCCAGGCTCACGTGTGACCTTTGTTCCTCTTCCAGAAGATTCTCTGCTGGCGGTGACAGTGACCGGGGATCTCAAGGTGTGGGACCTCTCCTCATCTATCAACAGCATCCAGGTGGGCAGAAACCACTCTTCCCCAGGCTGAAACATGCTGACGCAAATGTTTAGGAAGGAATACAGCCTCACTCGGCCTTTGGGTGTGGGCGTTGGTGACGGCATCTTCTCAGCCTTGATCCATGACTGTATCAGTGTCAAATACACACTCGTTCACACACACACACACACACACACATACAGACACAGACACACTCAGACTCACTCAGGCACACATGGACACAATCAGACACAGACATACAGACACAGGGACACACACAGACACACATGGGCACACAGACATACAGATACAGACATAGGGACACATGGACACACAGACATGGATACACTCAGACACACGGCATGCTCAGATGCTTGAACTCACTCAGGTACACCCAGAGATGAGCTAGCATACATGCACAGGTGGACACACAGATATACCATGCAGACACAGAACACACAGATGCACTCCCACAGAGACACACAAGGACTCCTGGGGCGTCTGGAATCAGAGGTCCTGGCATACACCCCAGCCACAGCGCCCTGCCCGGAAGCCCCTTTCCCTGCCTTCCGTGTGGGCGAGGGCAGCCGTGGACAGGGAGATGCAGTCCTTGTGTAGGGTGGGAGCCCAGGGAGCTATGGCCTGCTGTGTGCTGGGGATGCACGTCCTACCTGGCATCCTCAGCACTCATGGAGCGACCTAGTCCATGCGTGCTGTTATCTACATCTTCCCAAGCACTTCGCTCAGTTTTTAAAGGTTAGCAGTGAGTACTGAAGGTATCAGGAAATTGCCTGTTTGTTTGTTCTTTTTTCCACATCTGAAAGTGCATAACCACTATCAACTCTCAGTAGCCATCACACGCTGTCACAGAGTGTATGCTGAGTAACTGTATAAAATGTTTCTGAGGCCTGGGAATTTAGTTCAGTGGCCTAAGCACCTGCCTGACAAGCGTGAGGTTATGAGTTCGATTCCCCAGTACAAAAAAAAAAAAAGAACTCTCATAAATGCTTTTGAGGCCCAGTGCATTTCCTGCTCACAGTTACTCTTGCAAAGTAGCTTTGTTATTCAAAAAACTTGGAATGATACTGAGCACTTTTCTTTTTGGAATGGTGTCCTTCACTCCCATGGGTGCGGGAATGGCTTTTCTTGTGGTTTAGAAATGGCCTTCAATTAGTGCTCACATGTTTTCTTGCCTTTTAAAGGAAAAGCGAGATGTCTATGAGAAAGAATCCAAATTCCTCGACTCCATGAACTGCCAGGCGATTCGATTCTGCATGTACACTGAGCGGCTTCTGCTGGTGGTCTTTTCCAGATGTTGGAAGGTACATAATGCACAGCCCAATGTATAAATGTAGTTTTTTCTTGTTCAGTGAAACTGTGATAAGAACATGGCTTAGGGCGGAGAAAGCTCCTTATGACAGCATTGCTGGAGCAGCAGATGACCAGTCCATGGTGACCACTGTCTACTTCAGGTCCCATATTCTGCCATCTGTTTCCCGAGGTGCCTGTGTGTGGGCTGTGTCCTACCTGTGTTAATAACCACAGTACTGGATGTTTCTACAGTCAGGAATCATCGCTCATACTTGAGCAGTAAAAAGAAAGCTAAAACTTTTTACCTACACAGATTGCATGTTTTAAACTTTTTTCCTTCTTCTTTCCTCTGTCCCTGCATTTGTTTCTGTGACACACATTCTTTTCTGGTGACTGTGCCATGCATGCATCCGAGAAGAAAGAGAAGCTGCATCACCATCATTTGATAAAAGCCTTTTAAGGTCTTTTTTATCACTGGCTCAGTTAGCAAATCTATGCAGTCTTACCTGAAGGGCGATAATATATTTTGGAACAATTATCAAAAATATATGGTCTACCAAGGAGTGTCTACAGTATAAACTCTTTCCTGTGAACAATAAATTTTCAGATGTCAACCTGGACTGCCCATGCCCACATAGAAGGTAGGGAGAAAGTTGAGATTCAGGGCTTCTATTCTAGCATGAGATGGTGAGATGTGCTATGGGCTGAGACCTGCTAGACCCGGTGTGAAAGCTGAGGCCTCCTGAAATGCCACCTCACTGGGTAGGCAGAGCATGGCCCGTGACTGCCAGGCAGCGACAGGTGGCCGTCACCATCAGGGGCCAGGGGCTGGGGTGGGCAGGATTCGCCCTCAACCAGGCGGGTGGCCTGGAGTGCTGGCTAGCGCCTGCCTGTGCTGTGTCCTAGGTGTACGATTACTGCGACTTCGCCCTGCTGTGGACGGAGGCCAGTGCCGGCGGGAGGCTCTTTGCAGGCGGAGAGGTGCTGGCGGCCCACAGGGTCCTCGTCTGGACGGAGGACGGCTGCAGCTACATCTATCAGTTGCTGAACAGGTGGGCGCAGAGGAGGGCGGCCCGGCACGGTCAGGTAGCAAACAGCCTGGGGATATTATTGTGGGAACGCCCGCGTGCCGCCCATGATCAAAAACCAGAACAAAACGGCTCTGGCACCGAGAGATTTACCACGGGCTTGGCGGGCCCCTGGCTTTGTGCAGAGCAGCGGGGGCCGGGCAATGAGATTAACCATGTATAACGCGTGCAGCTGGTGCGCGGCGTCCGGAAAGTCACTTGTGATTATTAACCCGACGCTGTCCAGCCAGAGTGGAGAAACTTGAATGGTGCCATCCGGCTTGTGAAGGGGTGGGTGGGGGGATAAATAACTACACCATTTTCAGCTCTGCTTATTATTTCTGCCACGCAGTGGGCTTTCCAAGAGCAGCAGCCCAGCCGACAGGAGGCTGCTGAGAGAGACAGTGTACCCACACTTACTGTGCTCGGCCTCGGTGGAGGGAAGCCAGGTAACTCGGGGAAGGGGCTGCCCACTCTGCTGCAGCTGGGCCTCCTGGCCAGGATGCCTCTGTTGCGGAGTCTGCTGGGAAACTCAGGCCGAAGCCCTGCGCTCCGTGGTTGGAGAAAGAGCTCAGTGGTGGTGGCTGCAGGGAGACACTGCTGACCTTGACTATCTGCCGTCCTTAAGTGTGAAGAACAAAGTAGTACCTGTTTCTGATGGGAAGAGCTATAAATTTTAAAGAAAATAAGCAGAACTTAAAATTCTGCTATCACCACCACAAGTGTTTACTGTGAATTTTAACATTTTGTTTTACTCATTGTAGTTGAAAAATTTTCAGATACTTAGAAAAAATATTACAATGCTACAATGGAGCAGTAATCATTTCTGTATCTTTTATGCAGGTTCATAAGCAGTACAGTTTCTTTCACATTCATACGGTACAGGCAGCCCCCACACATGCATTAGTAAAATTTCTGTCACAGTGGATATTTGGGGAAATATTACAACAGTGCAGCAGTCATTATGTATGGAGACTCATGCAGTACCCACATTTCTGTCACACTATTCCGTGCATGCCCCCAGGACACACAGCCCAAACCATGCGGTGTTTGGACCCCTTTCATGGGTGGTTTGACAGAACATGACACTGGGATGTGTCCGCTCCAACTTTGGCACTTTATGAAATGGTTTTTATCCTGAGTTTGTTTCTTTAACTTAACCGTATATTAAGATCATTTTACATGTGTTTAGTTTTTCTTATGAGCCACTTTTCTTTTAAAGAAATATGATTGCTGGCTGGGAGCTGGTAATATAATTTTGAGTTTATTGCCTGACTGAATTATACACTCTAGGAATCCAAAAATCTGAGTAGGAGTTTTCCTGCAGCAGTGGGACTCACAGTGATTATTTTTAAGCCTCTGGACTCAGTCATCAATTAATTATCCGGAAGGTTTCATGGCTGTAGGATGAGTTTTGAGTTACTGAGAAGGCACGCACTTCCTACAGAAGAGTGGTTTGCTTACTTAGGCAGAGGAGCTGCTGGAAACCCACAGTGCAGGGATTCTCCCTGCCGTACATCAGTGAAGAGTGAGAGGCCGACAGCCCACAGCCTGAGCCAAGGTGGCACTGGGGCAGCCTGGTGGCCGCCCCTGAGCAGCACCCAGCCACAGAGCCAGGCCTTAGACCCTGGGAAAGATGTGCACACTCATGACCTGCTCTTGCATGCTCCAGCTCCAGTGGAATTTCACAACAGACAGTTTGCCGTAAAGCCCAGCATAGATCACGCCCTTTAAGACCTTCTGACCTACTGCAAATATCAATAGTATGTGCCCAACTTCCAAATAACTGAATTTCTTTCTCAGCAAGTTTATTATTGATGCACAAGAAAGCTATCAATTTTGTATTCTACGGTACTAATGAATTTGGTTATTAATGCTTGGAGTCTTTTGGTAAGTTTTTGGGGTCTTCTACATAGAGGATCATGACATCTGCAAATAATAGCAACATGACTTTTTCATTTCCTGTACATATCATCCCTTTTGCTGCTGCTTCTTGTCTGATTGTTTGTGCTAATATTTCCAGGACTGTGTTAAACAGGCGCAGTGTTAGCAGGCATCCTGTCTTGGTCCTGAGTGTAGAGGGAAGGCTTTTAGCTCCCCCCATTTAATATGATGTTGGCAGTAGGCTTGCCATAGAGGAAAGGCTTTTGTCAGATTGAGATAAGGTCCTCCATACCTCTTTTCTTCAGGGCTTTTATCTGGGATGGATGTTGGATTTTGTCTTCTGTGTCTATTGAGCTGATCATGTGATTTTTGTCCTTGCCCTGATAAAGTGATGTTACATTTACTCATTCGTGTATGTTGGACCCTCCCTACCTCCTTGTTCTTGGCTTCCTTGAGTCTTCCTTGTTCATGGCTTATCCTCTTTTTGATGATTTGTTGCATTCTGTTTGCCAGTATCCTGTTGAAGTTTTTGCATCTGTATTCAGCAGAGAGCCTTTAGTTCTCTTTTTAGTTTCAGTCTTTGTCTGGTTTTGGAGTCAGGAGAACCTTAGATTCCAAAAATGACTTTAAGAGTGCTCCTTCCCTTTCAATTTCATTATGGAACTTGAAGAGTATTGGTGTTAGATCTTCCCTGAAGTTTTGCAGAATTGAGCTGTGAATCCATCTGGGACTGGGGTCTGTTAGTTGGTAGGTTTTTTTTTTTTTTTATTACTTCTGTTTTATTGCCTGGTGTTGAGTTATTCAGGGTTCAGTTTTGGTAATTCATGTGTTGAAGAATCTATCCATTTTTTTTGTGAGTCCTCTAATTTATTGGCGTGGAGGTTTGAAAAGTAGTTAGTTGGTAATAATCTGTTGGATTTTGGCAGTGTCTGTTGTGGTTTAACCTTTTTTTATTTTCTAATTGCATTGATTTGGGTCTTTGGTAAGATTGGCTTTGTCTGTTTCATTTATTCTTTTGAAAAATCAGATTTTCAATTCACTGATCTTTGTATTTGTTTAAGTCTCAATTTCATTGATTTCTGCTCAGATCTTCATGATTTCCTTCTTTGTACTAGCTTTGGGCTTGGATTGTTTTCATTTTTCTTGGACCTTGAGTTGCATCACCAGGTTATTTGTTTGGGTTTACTCTGAATTTACTAAGAAAGAAATTATGCAAAGAATACCGTTTCTAATATCAGGAAAAAAATTAAATACTGAAGATATAACCTAAGTAGGGAAGTCAAAGATCTCTACAGTGAAAACAGTACTCAAAGAAGATTTTTAAAAAATGGAATCCTATCAAATTAAAAAGGCTTGCACAACAAAAACCACCACCGACCGAGCGAAGAGACAGCCTTCTGCATAGGAAAAGCATTTTCCCAGGCCTGCCTCAGAGAAAGGACATTCAAAAATCTGAAAGAAAATTAAACACCTCAATAAAAGACCCAGTCAAAAACTAGGCAAGTGAAGTGAGCAGACACTTCTCAGATGAAGCCAGTGAACATATGAAGAAATGCTGGACACTGCTGGCCATTGGAGAAGTTCAAATGGAAACACACTAAGACTCCATGTTACTCTAGAAGGGATTGCCTTCATCCAGGCATCGGATGACAGCAAAAGCCGTCTAGGGTGCAGGAATGTAATCTAGTGCAGCCACTATGGAAACCTGTGAGGAGATTCCTCAGAAAAGTAAAACTCAGAATCTCATTTGACTCCTCTAGTCCCTCTCTAGATATTTTCTCAGATGAGGTAAAGACGTTGTGTTATGGTGATCCATGTGTACCCATTTGTGGGAACACAGTTTATCATACCTAGAGTTTGGCAGCAGCTACAGGTTCCTCAGCTTCTGAACACCAGGAAGCACATAAAGAAGGATAAACAGGAGTTGGATGGACACTGGATGGACCTAGACGGACCATAATGGGCAAGTGAAATAAATCAGACACATACACTTAAATGTTGCATAGCTTCTCTGATATGAGAAACCCAAAGTACTGCATAAATAAAGAGACAACCCAAGGCCAGGCAGTAGGAAGAAGGGGACAGAGCCTTCAGATATGGGAAGAGGATCTAGAGGAAGGAGGAAGGGGCGGGAAAGAGGGTGAAGTGAGAACTGAGCTGTGGTGAGCACACGCACCAGCCTTCCACGGGGAAGTAACACCCTGCACACAAACGCGGACTAATGACAAAGAAATAAAAGAAATGAAAAGGAACTTGGAAACACCACTGGGAAGCTTGTTTCTCAGCATGTGATGCCGTACATCGAGGCACCTTCTATGGATAATTCCGGTCCAGGCCACCGCAGTTGTTTCCTGAAGTGTGCTGCGCAGTGGGTGGGGTCCGAATGCTGAGAGCGGAGGAAGGCTGCAGCCTCTCTGTTCAGTCCTCTCCGCATGCTGAAGCACAGCCTCTGTGATAACAGCTGAGAAGACTACGTCCCCAGCCTGGCAGCACCTATGGAAACAGATTAGGTAGAATGCACGCATGACTTGTTGGAATGGACTGGTCCCTCGTGTGCTCCTTGGAGGCATGGGGACCTGATTCAGCAAGTGGCCGGGGTTTGTTGCTCGCTTTCCCTGCCTCAGCTCCCCTCAGTGATGGATGCCGGTGCCTCCTCCTAGCTTCGCTGTGCTGGTCACACACAGCCCTTGCTTCCTCTCATAGCCTCTGAGAATGCGCTGCAGAGACTGCCACTCCTCCACCGAAGGCCCGACCAGAAAGCAAGCAGTTTTTGTCCAGGAGCTGTCACTTTCTGCAGCTTCTTTAATTCTGGCACCAGCAGTTGGCCTTCTGTACAGGACGCCTTTTGTTTGTACTTCAAAAAAGGGCTTGGTTTTGATATTCTGATCATTTAATCATTCTGATCCCTGTGCATGCATAATCTCCCTGGGAGCCCAGCTGGGAGCAGCTGCCTCTGGTACCCTGAGTTCACAGTGGATCACTCACCGCAGCTCTTAGACACTGCCTCAAGAAATCACAGAGCAGTTTGCAGTTTGCGTCTGTCATCCACAGCACTATGCGGAGTACAGATCAGCACTGCGTGGAGCATGGAACACATGTCTTAAGTTGCTGCTGCCTGTGTGTCTGTGAGAAATTAACCCTGGCTCCTAGCTCCCACATCTGTGTACAACAGTGACAGTGCACCAATGGCACAGGATTACCCTCAGGGTTATATACATATGTGTGTGAAGCTCCCATGGTGACGTGTGCACATAGCTTAGGAACACAGACCATGGCCAACCAGTGTGAGAGCCCCTTACCCACTCTGCATTTCAGCTGATGGCTTGACTTTTGGGTTTGCAAAGTCATTTTGTTCAAAATCACTGGTCATTTCCTTTAGTTCTCTTGAAACCTTTGAAACCATGGGAAATAAAGGGAAAAGACATGGTTCAGCTATGAACCGTGTTCCTCTGCTTAAAGGCAACAGCTGTCTCCTCTGTGTTACACTGCTCCCTGCCTCAAAGCTTGCCTTTCCTTTGCAGAGCCTTCCCTTTGTCATGGGCTACATGAATGAGCGGAAGGAACCTTTCTACAAGGTGCTGTTCTCTGGGGAAGTTTCAGGGAAGATTACTTTGTGGCACATCCCTGATGTTCCTGTAACCAAGTTTGATGGTTCTCCTAGAGGTAAGAGGTTTCCGTTTCCAATCACATCTCTTCTGAGAACTGCTGAACCATGTTCCTTAACATGGGCCTTCAGGCAAGAAAGTTTCTCCCATGTACTTCTGTGTGTTAGATGCTGACATACAAAGTATGATCAAAATACACACTGAGTGTCGCAGCGAAAGAAAACCTGTGTTGCTGTAGCAGACGCATTGCCATGGATCCTCCTCAGAACCCTCCTGTGTGCTCATCCCGTCATTCCTGCCCCTTGCTGACTCCCTTCTGAAAGTCCTCTTTCCTGAGTGTCTTTACAGGGCACGATCAAAAATGCAGTAAATGCTGCTGCTGAGTTCCATTCAGCAGAAAACCAGGCTCATGAAAACAATGAAGATGTGTTATGTGTATGCGTTAACTCCCCAAGACAGTGTAGTCATTATGTGCTGTAAACATATACTAATCTAAATTTAGAAATTAATTTAAAGATGGCAGTTTGACCTCATCCTCCTTATTCACGGGATCTAGCACCATGCAACTTACAGCTCATCCCCAAATTCACAGTGACCCTGAAGGGATTTGGGCTGTCAAGGCAGTCAGGACCCTGAGATACTCAGAGAGGAGTGAGAGAGGGACAATACGGGTCCTCCAAACAGTCCATGTGACACACAGGAAGGTTATACCCCAGCTGGGCGGCCTGCTGAATGTTGGATACGCAAGTTCATGATCTCTGAAATCAAGAATGAATTGGAGGAGCCATGAAGTAGGAGTAGGAAGTGTATACAGAGAGGAGGACAGCTCCTGAGAAAGATGAAAGGGGCTCCTCAGAAAGATGAAGGAGGCTCAAGGGGGCAGCCCGGGGATCCCACTTCTTGAGGGAGTTTTATAGGGTAAAACCACGAGGTGAGGCAAGTTCAAGGTGGGACAAAGCTATAGTCAACTAATAAGATTACAAATATAGTCGCCCAGGTAACATTGATCCAATGGAAAATCAGAAAGTGGGTATGAGATGGGCCAAAACTATGGTCAACCAATAAGATTACAGCAAGTATAATCACATAGGTAATACTGATTAAAGGAGGAAGCGGGTCACATAACTGCAGGGGAGGAATGGGCCAGGGAGGTTTCGGTCCCCAGCCTAAGGCAATGGGTGCCTACGAGGAGTATCAGTTACTGCTGTGCTGCCTAGGAGGAGCATGTGGGTGTCCTCATTTCTGTTTGTCTTCACCCTGACCCTAAGGAATGCGCCTCCAGCCACAGCTGCCCACTGCACTGACCTTTCAATGGCCCGGCCCTGTTAGACTGCCTATAATATTTCTAAGTAACTTAGCTGTCTCTGATAGTTTATTGTAATAATTTTAGAAATATTTAAGCCTTCATTGTAGTTTTCGCTCACACCTCTGAAAAGCAGGCATAAATGTAGAGGTTATAGGCCTGATTCACAAGGGGTAGATTCGGGTCTCAGATGGTTTTGAACACGGTGTCTCGGTTCCGTTTTCCCTGTCATGAATGGATAACTCCAGATGCCCCCTTTCTGTATGTTTTCCTCTTAGAGATACCAATCACCACCACCTGCACCCTTCAAGATAATTTTGACAGGCATCGAACGATGCCCCAGGGAATCCTTGGCCAGTTCTCTGGGTGTGGAGAGGAGGTAGCAGCTGAGGCTGTCACCGCGTCCGAGTACATCCCCAGCCTGGACAGGCTCATCTGTGGCTTCGAGGACGGCACCATTTTCATCACGCAGGCTCTCAGTGCTGCCCAGGCGGGCCTGCTGGACGTCGGTTCTGTGCCAAGAGGTGAGTAGATCTCTCCAGGCCCCACTTACTTAGCTTATCCAGGCCACACAAAGAGCGTTCAGGACCTCAGGGACTGACCCTTTTGTATGCATTTTAATATTAAAGCAAAGCTCACACAGAGCACCCAGGCAGAAAGTAACACATGAGAAATACCTCTCCCTTACTGACCTCCCACTTGCTTTTATCGAAAGCAGCTGTGGAAAACAATTTCTTTGTACCCTGCTTGAAATTTCCCACATACACACAAGTACGAGTATAGTGGTGTACAAGTACGAGTATAGTGGTGTACATGGTTGTAATTTTAACACATAAATAACAAGCTTACTCCACACACTTTGCTAAGATGTTCTTAAAAGTTTTTAATAAATTATTTTGATTTCATTCTTTATAATCATATTTAAATGACTAATAGTCATCAAATTTAAACATAAAAATCTCATTCATTGGTGTTTATCTTTTGTAGTCTCTAAGTATGTTAGAGAGTACAGGATTGTATACCCTTATGTATACATGTAGGTATAGCTGTAGTACTTATCCCCAGGAGTAGAATTACTGGATCAATATTTTATTGTAGTTTTAGTTTGGGAAATACATCTAAAAGGTTCTGTAAAGCTGGGCATGGTGGCTCACACCTATAATCCCAAAACTCAGGAGGCTGAGGCAGGAGGATCGCTTCCAGTTTAGGGCCAACCTGGGCTACACAGTGAGTTGAAGGCCATCCTGAACTGCATAGCAAGACCCTGTCTCAAAAAGATAAAAGACTGTAAAATACTTGTATCCACAGACATGTGCGTCCAGTAGTAACTTATACAAATGCCTTTGCCTTCAAACCTTTGCCAGCTTTGTATGCTATTTAGCTTTATAATCTTTGCCAATTGAGGAAAAAATGATGTCTCCCTGTTTTAATTCTTCTGTGTTAATGAAATCTATACTTCTGTTTATATATCTTGTGCGTGATTATAGCAAATATTTAAATACTGATACGCAGTAAGTAGTCCATATAAATGGAGGAAAACAGAGGACTGAGATTTTAGATTGTGTAGAAAAACTGTACACCACCGTTAAAATAGTGTAACTCCTACTAGAACGTGAGACTTAGGAGGAAAGTCTAAACCCCACTGGACAGGCTCAGCCCATGGAAGCCCTGGGCTTGCCTGGCCACAGCCTGCGTGTTTCTGACTTGTGACACAGTGACAGCTGGGGACAGGCGGCTGTGAGCTGAGGTGGTGATGTCCACACACGTGCTGCTGAGAAAGTGGTGAGAATCCAGTACCTAGGCTGACTTACCTTAATATCAGGGGAAAGCAGGCATTCAGGTTGGACCTGCTGCAGCTGAATTAATGTTGCTGAAGCTTCGCCAGGAGATGAAAGGCAGGATGCGCCCCATGGGTCAGAGTGACTAAAGTGGGAGGCAGGTTTGAGGGTTCCTCTCCGATTGGAGTGAAAGGAAGTTGTAGTGTGTGGTGCTTATGAGTTCAAGGCACACGGGTCATGGTGAGGAGGTGAAGGAGAAAGTGGTGGACAGAGGAAGGAAGTACCCAGCGCAGTGTCAGCACAGATGTGCTCTGAAATGCCCCAGGGGCCACTGCGTGCCAGGAGCGGTGCTGGGGACTATGGCTTCATCTCACTGGTGCCAACCAGCAGTCCTTCTGGGAAGAGTGGCTGTTACCCAGCCTTCCAGAAGCACACCCGAGCTGCAGGGCAAAACAGCTTCCTGTTCATGTGTCCAGCACCAGGTCTAGTGGTGACCAACCCGAGGAAAGGGCAGGTCTCCTAGCAGCAGGCCTGTGTCCTTCCATGTCTTGCTTGCCTCCTGACACCTGAACCTAACGCCTGCTTATCTGAGCCTCACATACTTCATCTGCGCAGTGAAGGTGTGGGACTTGGTAATCTCAGCATGTTCTGCAGCGAAATGTTCTAGATCACACTGACATAAAGAGCAGCAGCAACAATGCAGCTGCTTCTGTGGGCAGAGATACTGACTGTGCTGTGCCATGGGGCAGGGCTGGGCAGCTTGCTGGTCTGTAAGGAATTGTAGGCATGGAACACCAACTCTAGTGCTTTGTCCAGCCCTTCTCCAGCTTCCGAGGAGGAGCCAGACCTCCAGCCCAGGTGAAGAAGGGCTGTGCTCTAATTCTGTTAGCCAAGAATGTGCTTGCATTAAAAATACAGGAAGAAAATTTCAGTCATTCCTGAGTAAAGGCAGTTTTATACTGTGTGGTGTTGGACTGTTTTCCAGGTTCCTCTTCTCACAAAGCCCTTAAAGGCCACCAACAGCGTGTGACTTCCTTGCTGTACCCTCATGGTCTCTCTTCAAAGTCGGACCAAAGCTGGCTGGTGTCAGGGGACCAGAGCTCCTGCGTCATCCTGTGGGACATCTTTACGGACGAAGTGCTGCATAAGTTCTTTCTGGAAGCTGGTCCCGTTGTGAGCCTTCTGATGTCACCAGAGAACCCCAGAGTAAGTGAAAAGCAGAACACGCCATGTGGAAGTCATGCAGCTCTGCGGGGTATTTCTGAAGGAGAAAAAATGATGCAAAACAAAATTTCCGTGTATCCATCATATAACTGATGGCTTTTTTATGTTTGTTTCCAATCTTTTATGTTATGTAACTTTATTCTTACACCAATAATTTGGTTCTAAAGTAAATGTTTAATCAGTTGCAACTTTACAATAGAAATTTTTCCAAGTACTTAACATTTTTTTCCTTTTTTCTCTAATTCTCTTAGTAATGTTTTAAAAATGAAATAAATACTGCAAAAACTAATCAAACAATGTAACTTCTATTCATTAGAAGTTAACGTGCGCCTTCCACAATCTCCTTTTATAATACTGATAAAGTTACATTGTTTTTTCATGAATTTTTATTTATTTCTTTACTTATTGAACTTCAACAAATTTATGCTCACCTACTTGTGTTAGGCAAAAAATGAAATAGTTTTGGGTATAATTTTCTTATGAAATATCAATTTAAATTCTGCCTGTAGCAAGCTAATGTCTTTATTAAGTATGAACGACCAACTTTTGCGTTTTCTATATAAAATAAGTTCAAGGTAATTCAAGTCAAGCAACACATTTTAACATGGCAAAGGGAATACACAAAGTGGCCTGGCCTGGACTTGCAGAGTGGATCTGAAATAGTTAATTAGTTTAATTAACTATAAATAGTTTAATAGTTAATTAAAATAGTAATTCATTTATAATGTTATTTCTCTATAATATTATGAAAAATCAACTCTAAACTAAACGTGGAAAATTTAAGGCCCAGGAGTCAGTATTCTAGCAACACGTGTGACTGAACAAAATGGTGAACCTAAAGTGAGTGTGTCAAATGGAGGTTCCCTGGTGAAGGGAGTACCTTGATCCCTCTCATGTTCTGGGTTCCTCCTCTCTCTTTCCTTCATTGTTTTAATCATTGCTTTTCCCTTCAGCTGCAGGGCAGGCGTCCACCTGTGTCCCTCCTGCCCCTTTCACTCCTGCAGTCCTCACAGATGACGTAGCGCTGGATGAGGCTCTCTCACACCAGCTCCCACGCAGGGTCATTGTCAGCAGAGCAGTGCTGCAGCCCCAGTAACCTCTGGGACAAAACTCAGCAGCGAGGGCTCGGGGCCCTTGAGAAGAGCCCAGAGCCAAGGTCCCCACACCCCACACCCCCACACCTTCTTCCTGAGAATCCACCTTCCAGCTGCCTTAACTGGCCTCCTCAGTGGGGTGGGGCTGGGGTATGTGTGTATGCTGGAGCTGTGGGGTGGCTGAGTTCTCCAAGGCCTGAGGCAGCTGGGAGAAATAACTCAGATCCATCCGCAAGCCCAAGCCACTTGTATATTCCCTTTGCCATGTTAAAATGTGTCACCCAAGAATTTCTGAAACCTTGGAATGAATGAGGAAGCAAAGATGTCCCCAGAGCCCCACACAGGCTAATGTGGGCCCCAGGAGAGGATCAGCAAAGCTCAGCAGTGCTTTCCACACAGCAGCTGAGCTTCTGGGCAGGTCCGCAGCCCATATGCGTGGTCCAGCCCTAAGCTGGACCAAGGTGAGCACACACTGACCTTTCACAGAGACGGAAATACTGTGCTCCTGTGAGAGTGCTGCTGGCCCTATGTCTCTAAGCTTGTGCACTCAGATGCAGTCCTCTAACGCTCCCTTCTTTTAGACCCCAGTCTACACTGAACTTCCTGTTTGGATTAGAATTGCATAGTTCTGGGAACAGCCCAGGTCACATCCTGAGGCTTTAAGTGGAGACGCTCAGCTCTGACACCCTTGGGCCTGAGCTTGTGTCTACAAATAGCTTCCTCCTGCAGCAAGGGTTTATTTTACTCTGTGTTGCTTTCCACGTTTGCCTGCCCACTGCCTGAGCTGGCTGGGTGGCGCTCAAGTCCTTTACTTACCTCCCAAGCACACTGGTCCCCTCTCCTTGCCCCAGGTGACTTTCCTCTGGAGTTGCTGAGCCTAAGCTCTGCCCTGTGTCCCAAGCACCTCTGCAGAGCGCAAGGGGGAAGCAGAAATGCTCTTCCATTAGCAGGGCCATAAGAAAATGCTTTATGTTGCCAGGCAAAGGGACCCAGTTTAGTCCTAAAGAAAACACTCACCTGCTCTCTTACCCAAGCCTATTGCTGTCTCCCAGCCCAGGGAGGACTGGACAGTGTGCTGTGTGTGCAGCGACCACTCAGTGGCCCTCCTGCACCTGGAGGAGAAGAGGCCCCTCATGCAGGCCCGGAAGCACCTTTTCCCTGTCACCACTGTAAGGTGGCACCCGGTGGAGAACTTTCTGATTGTTGGATGTGCTGATGACTCTGCCTACATCTGGGAAATTGAAACAGGTAAGCTGAATTTTCACCTTCCTGTACCAACGACAGGTGAGCACCTGGCCAGGTAGAGGGAAAGTCCAGAGAAGGTGCTGGGCAGCCCCAGGGCCCGGCCCTCTGTGGGTTGCACTGTCGGGCAGGGGAGCCAGCAGCCCCGCTCAGATCCTGACCCGCTGCTGACTGGCTGATGGGGCATGCTCAGGAATGGGCCGGATATTTCTGGAAGCTATAAATAAAAACATAAGTTATCTGCTTTAATTATTAACAAGCGAGAAATTTAGTGTCCTCCTGGTCTCAAATTATCATTGCATTCTGCCGTCTTCAGCATACTCACCATCTCAGCAACATTTTGAGCTAATTGATGATCCGTAATAATGGAAGATAATTAATTATAAAACTCCAAAAAGTTGAGTCAGGGAAACTGAAAACGGAGTGGCTCGCTGGAACTTTTAATACTGTGCTGCAGAGAACGTTTGAACCTGAAAGTGTTTTTGAAAAGTTTCACTGCATGACTGCAGATTAACCCTGATGCATTTCAGAAAATGCCAGGACCAAATCACACAGGAGAGATGGCTGGTGTATGACTGTCAGGTGGGCCGAGTCCACTTCCCTGGGCAGCTGTGCAATCGTGGTGATGAATCCGTGGTGGTTTTATGTTGGATGCCATTACTGTAGTGGGTAGTTTATAATATTGGTTTAGAGCCAGACTCCACTAAAGGAATTGCTGTGAGCTTTGCCTCTTGCTGTTGTGTGTTAGTGATGACTGACGTGCCTGAATTCCCTGGGTCTCACATTGGGACCTCAGTTTACAGCTCTGACAGATCTGGTGTCTGTCTCCCTGGGGTAGGCAGGAGTCATCATTTCCCTCAGGGGAGCGGCAGCTCAGCTAGTTGTGCAGAGTCGGACAGCTGGCAGGTGCTGACCTGCCGAGGGCTCGGTGTTCGTGCACCATACATTCATGTGGTTTAGGAGAATTGTCAAATTTTGGGGTCTGCCTGGCAGCAGCGGGGTACAGTGGATGCAGTCAGCGCTGGAGTCTGAGGTTTCCCCAGGACCTGTGCATGAGCCCAAGCTCCTCAGCATGCGGCATGATGGTGAATCTTTTAGATTTTACGAGCGCCCAAACTGCAACCCTACATTTACTTCCTTACCACCAAGCACCAAGGCTGCAATGAAACCTGAACACTGAGACTTTAGTTTAGAAAAAACAATTGCTATCCCATGTTCAGCTGCCAGGGCGATGTGGCTCTTGTGCTGATGGAGAGGGCTCCCTGCGTGCCCGCTGCGGCACCTGTGCCATAGGTTTGCCACCACTGCTGTAGATGCTGGACCCCAACAAGCACAGTGCAGCCCTTCCATCCAGGACCCCAAGGGCCTTCACCAGACCCTGATACTGTAGGGTTAGAGGAAGGGCAGCAGTCACCTGAGATCATATTTATGCCCTTTCTGTTTTATTTCTGTGAATTTTTTAGTATCCCCCCAGGTACATAATTAAGTGTGGTAAAACATTGGAAAAATGAAGAAACACAAACAATCCCCTCCGCTGCCCAGACAGAAATGCTGTGCATATTTTGGAGCTCTCTGCTGGATTATTCCTGTGATGACACACAGATGCCAACACTGTCTTTCAGTCGTGGTCCTGGCAGGACGTGGAATCCAGCTCCAAGACAAGGCAAACTTTACTGAAAGGACAGTTTTCAAAGTCACAGGGAAGGCTGAGAAGAGAGGGCAGCCTCGGGCCACCAGGAGCTCTTTCTCTGTGGGCTGAGGCTGTTGAGGAGAGAGATTATTGTTACTGCCCATGAGAGCGGGCGCTCAGGGCTGAGGGGAGACTGGTTACCCCTGCACTCAGGGAGGAACAGCCCCACAGGTGTGCAGGGATTCGCCTCCATTTATCCAGTGCCCCTAGGAGTTGGAGGGGAGACTGCAGATCTAGGGCTGTGCCTCACTGTGAGAGAGCAGAATACCCAGGGCAGGGAGGCATCGGGGGCTGCTGAGTGGACAGGGGTCACATGGTGGTCATCCTGGGTGCTCCAGGACTCACCCATGATGGGCTGCTGGAGCTGCTTTCTGTCACAGGCTTGTGTTAGGATGACCACATCTGGTACTGACACACACTTAATGCCATGCTCACCCAGAACGTTGGTTCCCAGCGAGGCTGTTAACCTCACTTTGCTGGCTTGGGGGTGTTGACATAGCTCAGCTGAAAGAGCCTGGTCACTACAGCTTTGTGACTCAACACTAGTGTCCCGTGGTGTGTCAGCAGTCGTTTTCAAGGCCGCCTTTCCGAGCAGTCCTGGAGAGTGTGGTGGACCCTGTGTCTTGGCTGAGGGCCACCTGCACGGCCCTTTGTCCTCTTGAGTCTGACGCTGGCTTCCTCATGAGTTCCTTTAACATTGGCATTTCTAACTTTGCTTAAAATTGAGCAACCTCCTTTCTCTGTCCCAGGCTGCATTTGTGATGGCTAAGATGGCTCCACAATGAGTACTGATGGCTCAGTACTGACTTTTGTTTACTCCCTTCCTGGTGGGGAAGGTTGGGAGCAGGAAGCAGGGCACACAGTGCCAGCTAAGGCTGGCTTGGCTGCACAGTGAGTGTAAGGGGCTGTCTTCTGCACTGGTGTGAGCAGAGGCCTGGCAGAGGGCGGGATGATCAAGCCCAAAGGCCCCGGGGCCTTGGGTGGTCGACGTATGTGTCCCTCTGGCCACTGGGTAGTCATGGGACTCTAGAACCCTGCTGACCACTAGAGTAGGTCCCTGGCCTCCTGTCTGTGCCTCTGTGGGGCTGGGGCTGTGCGTTGCCCAGCTCTTCTCCCTGGGGCCTTGCCCTGGGCTTGGCTCGCAGCTGCTGTCTCCTGAGGCCTAACCCAAGCTGGGTGAAGGGTCCATCCTTGATGCCGCTCCCTCTGTCGCCAGCCTCCTGCACACCTGAAGGAGGAATAAGTTGGTGTGAAGTGAGCTATTAGATCTTCCAACACAAGAACACCCCAGGGAGAAAACAAGAGCAGCTGAGGGGAGAGTTTGGGGAAAAATCCCCAGACAGCAAAGGCCAGGGAAGGAGGTGAAGCCAAAACAAGGACTTTCCATTTGTGCCAGAAGTGCACTTGGGGAAAGTTTGGGGACACTGGTGGTAGAGGATAGGGGAGGATTGGTCTCTGTGTTGCCCACCTCAGGGGCAGGGACAGCACAGCCCCTGTGTCTCACAAACCTGTGCCACAGCCTCTTCTCACAGGGCTTTGCGAGGCCACCAGCGTAGGCCATGGAACCTGGAAGGGCTCCCTTCTAGGAGCAGGAGTACAGTTGTGTGCATAAGAGCCTGGAAGCTGTGTGCACAACGGGGCCAAGGGAGAGATCAGCACCTGGCGTTGGGAACAGTCCCAGGGCTTGATCCTGGCTAAAATTGCAGCCCTGGTGCTGGAGTGCCAGGCACAGGTATGCAGGAGGGTCTGTCGGACGCTGGTTGGAGGGAAGATGCTACACGGCACATGCACACATCAGGTCACCTGTGTGTGGGCAGAGCCAACAATGCAACCTGATTGCCTAGACAGCATGGGCACCAGAGTGCTGATTATCCTAAAGTGCCTCAGGGTGCCCCAGAGATAACTGTTTAATGACAATGAAGTTTGAAATAATCCCAGGGACTCCTGTGCTCCCGGAGGTGGATTTGCGTCACAGAACACTTGCATAATGAATTGTGAGTGACTCTCGTGTTGTTAAAGTAACTGCTACGATTGATTCTTTTGTTGTTATGCCAATGGCCTGTGTCATGATGTAGGGCTTAGTAAACAACTGGATTATTTGTTTGTAAGGAAATGAAATCTAACTGTTTTGAAAATGAAACATTTTTGTTTAAGATGTTCAGGAAAACATTTTTCTTGCACAGTGGGATGGAAGATGCATTCACCTTGTGGGCCGTAATTCCCACTGCTGATCTCTCAGCTGTGCTGTGATGGTTGAAGAGAAGCCTTAGATAAATCTCTGAAAGCTGGGGGATGTGTTCCAATAAAGCTTTATTCCCAGGCACAGGCAGCAGGAGTTCTGGTCTGCAGACCCCTTGAGAACAGTGACCGCTTTTTTTGAAGACGGTTGCTAGTCCTATGTATATACAAACCTCCAGAAAAGAAATCAATTGCGTGATTGCACAACAATGTGAATGTTTTTAGTGTCATGGAATTGTACACCAAAAAACACAAAACAAACAAGCAAATACATAAAAATCATTGTTACCATGACAACTCCTTCCTGAGCAGGCTCAGCCTCAGTTTCTGTGTGTGCTGGGTTGGACCAGACAGGCGGGCTGGCTCCTGTGAGGAAGGGGCTGGGCATAGCCGTGGGGGTGAGGTCTCGGGCTGGTGTCGGCCCTGCTCCTGTTCTGGCCTGGTCCTCACTGTCCAGCAAAGCAGGTGGGGGCCACAAGGGCCTGGAGAGAGGAGGCATCTGTGGGTCCTGAGCTTTGGAAGATGAGGTCACCGTGTCTCTCAGAGCTGGTTCTGAGGCCTGGGCCCTCCAGGGCAGATGGGCACAGTGCATGGCAGGGGCAGGGTGCTGTGTGGCACCTTGTCCCCAGGAATTCAGAAAAAAACAACAGTGGACTTCAGAGTTTGCATCTTGTATATGGAATCGCCTATCTCTTGATGTGTATTTTCTGTTGGAATCAGTAGTAAATAGCTAGAAATTTACCACATTAATAGAGATATATAATGAAGCACTTGTGTTTCTGTGGATTCAAAGTTCAAGGTGTTTTTTTGTTGTTGTTGCCTTTTTTGAGACAAGGTCTCGCCATGCAGTTCAGGTGGGACTTTTACTCACTTTTGTAGCCCCAGCTGGTCCTGAACTTGCAATGATCCTCTTGCCTCAGCCTCCTGAGTGCTGGGATTACAGGCATGCACCATCACACTTTGCTAAAGTGTAAAGTCCTAAAAAATGATGCATACTATCAACAAGAGCTAGTAGGACACTTTAAGAAAATATCCGGTGTTGAATTTTCCTCAGGTCTATTTGTTACAACCATTTAGA